TTAGAACATCGCTGAAAGTGATTCAATCCTCACAGGTTAGATTTCTCGACGCCAAAGAGATTTTCCAATCGATTGAAAATGAATCGCGATAAGCTGTTTTTCCGACATGTGCTTCTTCACTACTTCGACCTCACAAAAACCGCAGCTAAAGCGTATCGCTTATTATCCGAAGTATATGGTGATGAAATTCCATCGGAAAGAACATGTAGAGTTTGGTTTGAATGCTTCCGAAACGGTGATTTTGATGTGAGAGACAAAGAACGTCCAGGACAGCCAAAAAAATTTGAAGATGTCGAGCTGCAAGAATTGCTTGATGAGAATCCAGCTCAAACGTTTAGAGTTGTCGAAAGAGTTAAATGTTACTCCAAAGGCCGATTGAGAGACGAATTGATGCAAAAAAGATCATCCGTAGCCAACAATCGACGCAAAGTCATTTTGTTACATGATAACACTCGACCGCATGTCGCGAAAAGCGTGAAGCAGGCACTTCTAGAGTTTGAATGGGAAGTTCTTCCGCATTCAGCGTACTCTCCAGACTTGGCACCGTCGGATTACCATCTCTTCCGATCGATGCAACACGCACTTACGGACACACATTTTTCCAGTCACAACGAAGTCCAAAAATGGGTGGATGAATGGATCGCCTCGAAAGACACCGCGTTCTACCGTCGTGGGATTATCCTGTTGCCAGAGAGATGGAAAAAGTAGTAGAAAATGGAGGAAATTACTTTGATTAAGGTATTCATTCATCTTCCCTTCGAAACAAATCAATTTTGGAGACGAATAAATGGCAGGAATTAAGTTTAACACCTAATATATTGTGAATTATTTAACTCTATAAGTGGTACTCGCATATCACGTACGGATTTTAAATTCTCGCCATTTATTATCGTAACGAAGAGCAACAATCACTACCAATATAACTTGTACTATAGGAATTATATCATTGCTGACGGTTATCTACAACGTTAGTAATATTAAAACCTAAAATTTACAATGAGTTAAATGTTTCTACGTTTAAAAATGAGAAACAAATACGGGCTGCAACGAAGTATATATCATCAAATGTTGTTCTTAGAATTGCAGAAGGAAATATACGTTTATATATTATAAATGGAAGAAATAATATAATTTTAGTCTCCAGTATTACAAAGAATATTTATCATTTAGTTTGAATATTTATCACGGGATTTATACATAGATATGCATTTTAAAAGTATAATCTAATTGTATCAATATTATGATTAATTAGCTATTAATGATTTCGCTTTATAACCATTTTTTTAAATTGTCAGTTTATAACATTTTGTAATGATTTATACTGGCGGAATTGAGATATAACCACGCATAAAATATACAATAAGAGATATAAGAAAATTGTATACTTGTTCAATATCACTACAATTACGTATACATATAACGTATATTTCGAAGCGACTATGAGACTCTCATTTGTGAGATATAAAATTATATTTACAATGATTTTTATTTTTGGATGTTTTATAAACATTAATATAACAATTACGTGTATATATGATGTAATGAATTTTTCTGCAATTATTTCTCCCAGCATGATTTTGTCTGTCTTGCTTTCTTGATAACATACGGCATTGTGATTTGCAACTCATATTATTCTTTAGTTTCAATGGAAGTATGTTTGAAATTCTAAATAATAAATACCTTTGTAATTCCATGTTTCTTAGAAAATGTAATGATATAATAAATAATTGGTTGTACACTACGATTCTGCATAAAATATGTTTTTTCTGTGGCATTCTCGCATTCGAGAGCCTATATGCGAAGTTACGAGTAACTTATTCTGAGAATCGTGCTGAATTGTGCCCGAATTGCTAGGTTCATATCCGAATAATAAAACCATAATATGAAAAATACATTAAAATGATTTTTAGGACAACTTTCCATTGTATGTTTGTTTCAACTTTTTAATTATGCTATAGGTTGTGCTAAGTTGTGTTAATATTGTGCTAACATTGTGCTAAGCTGAAGTGTTATCTTTAAATAATAATAACAACAGAAGTTATGATAAAAAATAATTTTCGACAATTCCGAATACAATCAACGTTTACGTTCGCATTAGTTATTAGGTGATGCTTTAGCACAGAGTTAGCACAACTTAGCATAACCTTGCACAATTAAATAATTGAAAAAAAAAACGCAAAGTGGAAGACTGTCCTAAAAATCACTTTTTTTACTTTTAACATATTTTTTATATTGCGATTTTATTATTCGGGTACGACGAAGCACAAATCTAGTACAATTCAGCATAATTCTCAAAATAAATTAAATTCTAAAAGTAGGGGCTAAACTTTATAGGCGAAAGCAAACATATTAGCATTTCATCTAGTAGCTTTTGTTTTGTTCTTGTACATACATTAATTAACGCAAACAGATTAAATAATTAATTTTAATTCGAATTTATTGTATCTCTATATTATTATTTTATTATTTTTTTGTAAATGTTGATTTTGTGCACATCAGAATTTGTTTTTATGTTAATTATCAAATTTTATTATTTTATGTTTAGTCATATTTACCAGAAATTATATATGTATATAATATGTATAATTTATTTTGTGTAGATACATCATACAACACATACATATTTGAATCGATGTTTTTACACTTCTTACTTAAGCTTCTTGCATTAAATTCTAATCTCTGTAGATGATCATGGTTAAATACAATAAAATTATTATGATGAAATTAATAAGTTTTAAGTAACATCTTTTAGAGACGCTTTATGAAATCTAAGAAATCTGAATTTGGTTTTATTTTGAATAATTAAGTGTCCTGTTTATCTGCGATTTGCGATCTTTCACTATTTACAAATGTTTATAAAACAGGTTTTGATGTGGTTTCTCTAGTATAGTGTATTTTTTACCTCACCTCACTTGCCATGACCATCTGCAGCGATGCCAGGAGAAACATATCTTTACCTTCATGGAGGTCGTGACTCTCCGTCCTTTATAAGTAGTTTTAGTCATGTCAAGATTTATCATAATTTTTGTAGAGATCCAGAGCTTATCCACTATCCATTTCAGGCTATCTTTTATCTCAAGGCTTGAAAACATGAGTAATAAGTCTTGCCGAATTTCGTTGTTGCACGTGTTTTAGGACAAACGACATGAGATATATTTTTATAATATCGTACTTTTCGTCAGTTCTAGCCAACATCGATACGCATGTAATGTTTAATTGTTGTTTAATATTAGATTACTTATACGAGCACCGCTAATTTGCTTCCAATATACTATGTGCCAGTTACAATACAGATAAACTTATGCGATTTTGCATTAGTTACTTTAGTTAATCAAAGATTTTATCTTTATCTTTTTGAAATGAATACAGATCATTATATTCTATATAATGCTGTAATACTAGGTATGTTTTTATTTTCTAAGTAACGTTTGTTGCATATGTAAATCAATCGAATACGTTAGCAGACTTTTGATTATTATAGTTTTAATCATCGCGAAAATAAATTATAGAAGTTACTTTGCATCATGAATTTATATAGATAAAGTATTCCATTGATTTGACGATATATTACACATACATGATAATAGAACAATAATTGATTTGCGTACAGTTGATATTATCACGATTATTTTGTCAATTTAGATGTGTCAAAAGTTTTCAAGTCGCCTTTTTTTCTTTTTTTCTAGTGTCTACTAGGATATGATTATATTGTCACAGTTTTTAACAATTTTTTAATTTTAATTACTTTAAAATTAAAGTATACAGGCTCGTATGACTGCAACGCAATTTAACGGTATCGTGGCTTATATTTCGAGCTTTTTAAATGGATGACTTAGAAATAATATATTTAAATAGATACAAATAATTCAATATATAATTTAACATAACAAATAATTCAATATACAATTTAACATAACAAACGTTTCAGCTTACAAAGCCTTCTTCAGTGATAATATTAATGTCATAATCCCCCTAACGAACATTTAATCCCCTATCAAATGAATTATTTCAAATAATACTTATTACAACAGAGGCGATGTGTTTAATTCTTATATCAAAAATCAGTATAGCATATTAGGGTAAACTCGGGTATGATGGCCATAGTTTTTTAAAATGCAAAAAACATACATTTATTCTTGTTATTTTTTAACAATATTTGGGATATTACTTTTACTGAAGCTTAAAATAATAAATACTATCGAAATTAAAGAGAAAATACTTAACACAACTTTAATTTTATCAAAATATTACAAAGTATGCATTGGCCATCTTATCTGATTTTTAGGGAAAAGATGGCCATGATATTAAGAAAGATAGCCATAGTATTTATAAATAAATAGTGAAAATAAAAGTGTTAATTATAGGTCACATTGCAATTTACGTACCTTTATTCTGTATGTAATGTTGATTATGGCAGCTTAACTGTAATTTATTAGACATAACAGTTTTTAGCAGACACGTGCAAAACTTTGCAGATAGGCGAAAGAAAAAATATTAAATAATATTTATAATATTGTTATTTTGAACAGTGTACTCATATGAACTACTGTAAATATTGATTATCTTTAAGAATGACTATAAAAATGCATTATTTGTCAATTATTGGAGAAATTATGGCCATAATACCCTAGTTTACCCTATTACGAAACATTACGAAGAGAAGAAAAAGGTACTTCAGTCAAAAGTTCCAATCACATGCTATACTGACTTTTGATATAAGAACTAAACACATCGCCTCTGCTGTAATAAGTATTATTTAAAATAATTCGTTGGATAGGAGATCATATGTTCGTTAGGGGGATTATAACATTAATATTATCACTGAAGAAGGTTTTATAAGCCGAAACGTTTGTTATATTAAATTATTTGTATCTATTTAAATATATTATTTCTAAGTCATTTGTTTAAAAAGCTCGAAATAAGCCACGATACTGTTAAATTGCGTTTTAATTATTTTTTTTATCATTTAAACGATCAAAATAATTTATTGCGTATTTCAGAAAATAGAGTCATGGATATCTGGATGGCGATACAAAGGATTTGCAATTCTACATATAAAGTAATGGATAACAATTATCGCCGTTATCTCATTTGAGCGAGACCAGATACGTTCGAATCTGTTTCTTCGATCTCAATAAGAAAGCCGATCACGATTATTGTGACAAGGAAACAGGAGATCGGCTTTTCATCCATTAATATTCATCGAGCGGTATGGGCAAGGTGAAAAAGAACTTATCTTCGTTAGTAGAAATTCCTAGAACGAGGACTGGGCGAAAGAAACCAATGTGCGGGCGATGCTATGTTCATGGAGTGGAAGTTGTGCTCGAGGGACATAAAAAGTATTGCAAATTTCAATACTGCAAATGTGTAGGTTGTTATATTTTTCTGGCGGAGCAGAGAGTAGCGGCAGACAAGATAGCTCGGAAACGAGCGAGTGACTTGAATAAAGTGAAAAAAATTAGTCACGCAGAGGTTAGTATTTTTCTTTTTTCAAGGCATAAGATTTGACAATAGAAAACTTGTTAACATTGCGGTTGCAAAAAATTGATCAAATATTTATTGGCTGCGTTCAGCAGAGAAAGCAGCTTTGCAACTATTGTAAAATTCTTCAATATGATTGGTCTTGCCCTTAGTTCCTTATTGGATCTAAATGTATAAACCAATAATATTCAAGAATTTTACAACAGTTGCAAAGCTGCTTTCTCTGCTGAACGCAGCCATTGATTCAATTGATAATTGGAAATATATAGGGATTTTTTTTCCCCTTTTCCATATCATGCTGTCAAATTGGACAGCAGAAAAATGCATATTTTTTGTTCTCATACGTAATATTAAAATGGAATTTTTTGTTCTCATACCTAATATTAACATGAAAATTTTTTTGTTCTTATATGTAATATTAAGACATATATTTTCATTAAGTTTTAATGAAAAATCATGATGTTTTTCGAGAAATATACGGAATTTTTAAATTACGCGAATTCTGAAGTCACGATATCTTTAGAATGCTCCAATTTCCAAATGATTTAAAATACAGAGCTCAGCGATCAATTATTTTAAAGCGAATTTGTTACATTTTACGTGTGCATAAACAAATTTTTAAATAATATAAACTTTATAACACATATTGAAATACTTTTTATACATATATTGAAATACTTTTTCAAATTTTTAACTCCTTGGAAGGAGGAATTACAAAGTATAAAAAATGTAATATTTCTCGATTTAACATCATTAAAATAAGACTAATTAGAAAGTGTGATGTCTTTGGAAACGTTTCGAAATAGAAATAAAATTTAATATCACGTATAGTTTCTCGCGCGTTAGAGAGGTTCGTCAAAAATATATCGGCAATGCATGAATACTGTGAACTATTAATTAAGGATTGGATCAAAGAATTGCTAATTTTTTAATTTTTGTTATTTCCAGTTCAATTTATGAAATCTAAATTATATTTATGAATACATTAAAAGCTTTATGTCGTTTTGAAAAATTGCGCAAATAAATTTCGAGTTACACTGATTTATATTTCCAACTTATTTTTATATTGAGACCGTACTATTAATCTTTATCTGAGAATAAACAAACTTTTAATTCTGCTAATATGCTGCACATTGCAACCGTAATGTATTTATCATTTATTTTATATATATATTTGTGTGTGTGTGTGTAGGGGATAGGGGGATAGCTTTGAACACGTTTTCTTCTCAGACTCATAAATTACTATGTAATGAAATTATTTGTATTTTTGTTGTGCTAGTTACAGATATTGATGTATAATAATAAACCACATTGAAACAAATATCATAACATATATTATTTTATATATATTTTAAAAAAGCACTCTTTATGTTCAAAAATACCCCTCTGAGGGCAGTTTTGAATTACCCTGGGGAAGTTTTGAACGCGTTGTAAAAAAGAAAGATTAAGCGTTTCTTATGCACTAATTTATTTATACAAATAAAAGTTTCTTTTTTGAAAATATATTAAAAGTTGAAATACGAAAGTTAAGAACTTTTAATGATTATGATAATCAAAATAAAATTAAAAATAAATTAAACTCTGATCTTAAATTATCTAAATTTAAGTTTTATAATAAATAGACTATCTCTTTTTACTCTTATAACTCCCTCTTATAAAAAATTTTTATAAAGCGATTTCTCAATATTTCGCATCTCAATTAGTAGGAATACGCGTAACGCTATCATCACAAGAACTCGATAATGAGTGATATTTTCCAGCAAGTGGCACAATATGACACAGATCATGTCATCTTCATTTAATATTAGTAAATAACAAGGATGTAATGATTCACTGTGTTACACTGTATCGTCTGCGTTTCTTGCTCGAAAGCGCCCTATATCGGACAATTCGGGAGAGATTAAAAAAACCATATTAGATAATCTTCAAGTTCTACTGTATACATGTAGGTATTGTATACAAGTTATAGGTTACAAGCTGTGTCCTGTAATAACTTGGATAACTATTAAGTGTGGAAAGATATTTTAAAAACTGTGTATTCGTACCTGTTATATTGTCGAAAGTAATTATAAATCTGCAGTATAGAAAGTCTTTATCTTTATGCTTGCGTTATAAATCTTATAATAATATGTAGATCGTGTCCGACGCTCAACAATCAAACGTAATCTTATCATGTGTGTCTACGAGCCGCGAAGGAAGCTCATGGCACATACAAAAACGTAAGGCAATAACGTAAGCAGTAAGCAAATTGGCCAATGACAGTAGAGACTGCAAGGCCAGTAGCAAATCCAATGTTATGATTTCCTTACTGTTTACGTCTTACTGTCTTACATTTTTGTATGTATATTTATCATTACTCATGTGCCATGGGCTTTATGGGAGCTTGCACTGTTAAATTTTATAGGGTCAAATTAACTCAATGTGAGTCGCCACTACTCCTACTCAATAATAGTAAATCATATCGTTATTTTTTACTAAAACAATGGTTATATTTGACACTATACGGTATCAATTTAACGTTATATAGTGTCAAATTTAATTATCATTTTAGTGAAAAATAACGATATATTTAGTAGGAGCAGTGGCGACTCACATTGAGTTAATTTGACCCTATAAAATTTAACAGTGTGCGTAACTCGCGATTGAAATGTTCTAAGGTGCCCCGTGATTTTATTTGTTCAAGTTTATCCCTATCAGTTACATTGAAAAAATATCTTATTTTGTTTATCAGAATATCGATTAAAACCAAATATTTCATCTTTATTACATAGATATAGATGTATAAAAAAACACATAGCACAACAAAATGTTAATTATTTAATGGTTTAATTTTAAAATGTTTACGTGTGCAAGACGAAATGTTTAGTACGAAGGCACAAAAACACAAAACGCGCTTCTAGATTAGATTAATAATTGCAACCGCGGCAACTACCACTTGACGATTATCTACTTCTATATTGACATTTCAAAAATTACAATTTGTAATCGCAGAAAAGGACAGTTTATTTTTAATTTGTAAAGTTCAAAGCTGCCCCTGAACAAAGCTGCCTCTCCTCTCTCCCCTATATATGTATATGTATATATATACATAAATAAATTGCATGCTATATATTAGATTGCGTTAATATATATATAATTGCAGTATTACTCTCATTATCTTAGAAATTCGGAGCTTATCTCTTCTTTTTATGTCTCAATATTTATACATTATTTTTGAGATAATTTTTAAGATGTTATGCTAATAGTTACTATATAATTAGTATAAATAATAAAGAAGTGTGGTAAAACTACAGAAAAGGGAAGTAATCGCCGATGGTGTTGACCTTGACATATATTGTCAAAGTCATGATTCTGAGTAATCTCCAACAGGTTTTAGCCGGCGCTTGTCCTTCGTTAATAAGTTATTAACAAAAAAAGTTTAAGAAATAAAAAATATTTTGCTATATACGTATTAAGGTCTACCCGACTGTCTCTCCACCGGCTAAAACCTGTTGAAAGTTACTCAGGGTTATGACCTTGACAATATATGTCAAGATTAAGGTCATCCAGCGGTTGCTATCCTTTTCTAGTATATTACTGAAAATATTAATATAATTAATATATTATAATATAATTAGTAGATTCTGCACGCGCGCACACGCACACACACACACACACGCACGCAGCACGCACGCGCATACACGTACGCAGCACGTACCACACACGCGCGGATTATCCGCTGACCGACCGATTCGAGCTGATCGTAACGCGTTTTTTATGATTCTCTCCACTGCCACTCACTCAAAGCCGTGGCGAGCGACGGAGCGACAATGCTACGGCGATGGGGGATGAGATATAATGGGGACAGCTAGTTACGGTTGGCACGATCTCAAAATATTAATCCTGGCCCTAATAATTAGTATGAGTGAACTTGATAAATAGATAAATTTATAAGGATATGGTAAGCAGAAATATTTATTTGTAGTGTACCACGACAAATTAAATTAATTAAAAATAACCCGTATCTATATGTTGAATTACGATGAACTATTCTTATTCGCAGTGATGACTTGGATACTTTGCAGCAATCTCACACTGAGAGAAAAGATTTTGTTATAGGAACAAATCAAGGGAAAGCAAATGTGATATTTATTTAAAAAACAGTCGATTTGTTACGATTGCAAATTAATTCGTCAATGTAACAAATAATCAATAGTATCGCTAGCAAATAAGAAGCTCATATATATATATATATAAAAGTCGTAGACGATTGCAGGGTCTGAAATCGTAAGAAATTGACTAATTCTAGTTAAGTATTCTCCCTATATTTGACTGTGCTTGATCGGTTTCCTACAACTTAAGACTCCACGATCATCTACGAATTCTATGTAAACGAGCTAAAGTCTATCCAAAAGATAGGTTAGATTCTATATATTTTGTTTCTGTTACTAATAATTGGTTGGTATAGCAGACTAGCAGCAATCACAACAACATAATTTGTTGTTACATATTTACCGATCACCGGTTAAAGGTACTGGTGGCTTGCTAAATTAACAAAATCTTTTCTCTCAGTGCAGGTCTGTTTTCACAATATGTGGTTATCTAAAGATTAAAGGTTATCAAGAAATTCATTCATGAATTTCTTGGTAACCTTTAATCTTTAGGTAACCATATTGTAAAAACGGGGCTAAAACGACATCGTTTTATATCGTTACGAATTCATCTGGTTTTTTAAATCCA